TTAATAATTTTTTGCATGTGTTAAATTGCTATTGTGATTCTACTAGATTGTCTGAAATAAAGTTACTAATTTATTCATTAATTTATTCAAGTAAAAGTAGATGTACAGTGGGTACGGAAAGTATTCAGACCCCTTAGAATTTTACTAGGTGACTAGGTGAGAAGATGACTGCGATTCAGGTGGAGGCCCCCATCGTGTCCTGAATTGTTGATTACCTGACAGGCAGACCACAGTATGTACGCCTACAGAACTGTGTGTCTGACAGGGTGGTCAGCAACACTGGGGCCCCTCAGGGGACTGTCCTCTCCCCCTTCCTCCTCACCCTTTTCACCTCAGACTTCAAGTATTGCTCTGAGTCCTGCCACCTTCAGAAGTTTTCTGATGACTCAGCAATTGTTGGCTGCATTGAAAGGGGTGAGGAGAGTGAATTCAGGACCAGGATGCTGTCCAGGTTTCAGTCCATCTTAGACGATGACTCACATCCTCTCCACGACTCACTGGTCCAGCAGACGAGCTCCTTCAGAAGAAGACTCCTCTTACCCAGATGCACCACAGAGCGCCACAGGGAATCATTCCTACCTGTGGTCATCAATCTCTACGCCTCCCTCAAGTGATTCAGACACCCCTCCCCTCTGTAATTGACATTTATGCACTATTTTTGCACGTCACTATCACTTTACTTGGATTTAGTTATACATATGCATATATATAAATATACATACATATATACATACATACATACATATATACACTCACCGGCCACTTTATTAGGTACACCTGTCCAACTGCTCGTTAACACTTAATTTCTAAGCAGCCAATCACATGGCGGCAACTCAGTGCATTTAGGCATGTAGACATGGCCAAGACAATCTCCTGCAGTTCAAAGCGAGCATCAGTATGGGGAAGAAAGGTGATTTGAGTGACTTTGAACGTGGCATGATTGTTGGTGCCAGAAGGGCTGGTCTGAGTATTTCAGAAACTGCTGATCTACTGGGATTTTCACGCACAACCATCTCTAGGGTTTACAGAGAATAGTCCGAAAAAGAAAAAACATCCAGTGAGCGGCAGTTCTGTGGGCGGAAATGCCTTGTTGATGCCAGAGGTCAGAGGAGAATGGCCAGACTGGTTCCAGCTGATAGAAGGGCAACAGTGACTCAAATAACCACCCGTTACAACCAAGGTGGGCAGAAGAGCATCTCTGAACGCACAGTACGTCAAACTTTGAAGCAGATGGGCTACAGCAGCAGAAGACCACACCGGGTGCCGCTCCTTTCAGCTAAGAACAGGAAACTGAGGCCACAATTTGCACGAGCTCATGGAAATATGACAATAGAAGATTGGAAAAACGTTGCCTGGTCTGATGAGTCTCGATTTCTGCTGCGACATTCGGATGGTAGGGTCAGAATTTGGCGTCTACAACATGAAAGCATGGATCCATCCTGCCTTGTATCAACGGTTCAGGCTGGTGGTGGTGGTGTCATGGTGTGGGGAATATTTTCTTGGCACTCTTTGGGCCCCTTGGTACCAATTGAGCATCGTTGCAACGCCACAGCCTACCTGAGTATTGCTGCTGACCATGTCCATCCCTTTATGACCACAATGTACCCAACTTCTGATGGCTACTTTCAGCAGGATAATGCGCCATGTCATAAAGCTGGAATCATCTCAGACTGGTTTCTTGAACATGACAATGAGTTCACTGTACTCAAATGGCCTCCACCGTCACCAGATCTCAATCCAATAGAGCATCTTTGGGATGTGGTGGAACGGGAGATTCGCCACAAATCTGCGGCAACTGTGTGATGCCATCATGTCAATATGGACCAAACTCCCTGAGGAATGCTTCCAGCACCTTGTTGAATCTATGCCACCAAGAATTGAGGCAGTTCTGAAGGCAAAAGTGGGTCCAACCCGTTACTAGCATGGGGTACCTAATAAAGTGGCCGGTGAGTGTATATATATATATATATATATATATATATATATATATATATATATATATATATATATATATATATATATATACACAACAAAAAACTGTAACTGGAGCGTGTAACAAAAGTTACTTCCCTCTGGGATTATTATAAGTATTATTAAAGTATTATTGAAGTATTTCTGATTCTGATTTTCACTCTTCCTTTCATTGTAGCCATTTGCTAAAATCAATAAAGTTCATTTTATATCTCACTTTAATGTACTCTCAGTACCCCATCTTAAAAGAAAAAAATCACAAATGTTGACATTTTGCCAATTTAATAAAAAAGAAAAACTGAAATATTACATCGTAATAAGTATTCAGACCCTTTGCTCAGTATTGAGTAGAATGGCTCTTTCCATTTAAGGATGATGGAGGTCACTGTGCTCTTAGGAACCTTGAGAACTGCAGAAATTCTCTTGTAACATTGGCCATATTTCTGCCTTGCCACAATTCTATCTCTGACCTGGGCTCTGGATTCTCGTCTGTTCTGACAAGCACTGTGAACTGTAAGGTCTTATATAGACAGGTGTGTGGACTGGACTGGACTCCAATGAAGGATCAGAACATTCTCAAGGTGCATCAGAAGAAATGGACAGCACGTGAGTTAAATATGAGAGTCACAGCAAAGGGTCTGAATACTTATGACCATTTGATATTTCAGTTTTTTCTTTTCTGTCAAGATGGGGTGCTGACTGTACATTAATGAGAAATAAAAAGGACTTTTTTGATTTTAGCAATGGCTGCAATGACACAAACAGTGGAAAATTTAAAGGGGTCTGAATGCTTGCCGTATCCACTGTAAATACATTTGCAATCCTTTTTTAAAGATTATCTAAATATTTCATATTTTAAAGGCTTATATAAATATTTTTGTCATGATCTTGGTGCTGATGTCTGGTCTGATTACTCATTTCACTCACCTGCTTATCTGAACCACCTGCTTCAGTCTCTATTTTACCAGCATTCAGACCAGCCATTGGTGCCAGATTATTTCAAACCAGTGGTGAGACATGTTTTAGCCTTCCTTTGTTTTTTATTACCTGATCCTGTCCCCGTTCTGATCTGTTTACCCGACCTCTGACTCCTGCCGGATCTCTGCCTGTCTGTGAACCAAACCTGGAACCGTTTCCCGACACCACTATGGATTTCCCTTCGGCACCTCTTTGGATATCTGATCTCCTGGCTCTGATTCCTGAGCACATCACAGATCCACTTTTGTCTTCGTCCTCTGAATTATCCTGCATACCTTCTCAGTTCTGAAGATCCTGCCTTTCCTCCGACCTCCAATACATCAGCTTCTGGTACTCTCTGGGCAGTATTCGCCACATCATGCTAACCTGATGGAAGCAACCTCATTCTCTGTACTCGGACTGAACTTTAAGACCAGGTTAGTGACTAACACATTTGTTAACACCCATCTCCAGAAAGACCCACCAACCCCAACTAACCTGTTGTTTCCTCCTCTCGAGGTTCCTGCCTTAGGTGCCGACACTGCTTACTCAGGTTCAGTTTACGATAAATGTTTTGAGAAATCTAGCTATTTGTCTGCTTCAAATGTTGGATCCTATTGTTCTAAGCCTTACAATTTCAGTCTTTATTCAATTTTCTAATATATCTCTTGATTGTGCAACCCTCATTACAGCAGGCCTGGCTCAGAAAATATAATGGAGAAAATCAATGGAAATAATCTGTGCTGAAGCAGGGAAACCTCTAAAAACCTGCAGGACAGCGGCCCTCCAGGACCCACTTTGGGTAGGCTTGGTCTAACCACTGCGCCACCTGCACACCCTTAATATTCTCTTTAAGTGAATGCAATATAGAAAAGGATAACATTCCTTTATTGTTCCATGGTAGGGAAATTCAAGGGTGTCAGTAGCAAAGGAGAAAGGCAATGAGTGATTAGGATAAATATTTCACATTTATTAGCAACTGAGAAATAAATCCATTTAAATCTGAATTTAGATTCTCGCAAATCCCATTAATATATCGTTGCTTTTAAATTATTTGTAGAAGGCATTTCAGAATATCACACTTTTATAGTTGATAAACATGACTTATTTCCAATACATGTGCAGATACAATATAGGCCTATACACAATTTAAAAGTAGTTTTATGTATCACAACTGGGGTTACAGTATTAATCATTTTTATAATGTTAAAATAAGAATAAAATTAAGCATTTCAGAACACTTACAATTATAAATATATGGTTTTCCTACCAAATCCGATACATTTTTGTGCTTTTTTCCCATTTAAGTTTTATAATTAAATTGACAAATGAAATACACCGCTTTCAAAAAAGTCATCTTTTCTTTACAATCATCCACTCTGGGAGGCAACTGGAATTCAAAAAGGCAGATAAATTCAAGGTGTGAAAAAATGCTTTAAATCAAACATGTTTCTCAACAAAATTTAACAGGCTAAATGTTTGCAGCAACTTAGGACCACAAATCTAAGAACAAAAAGTGATGATATGAACTGATTTAACTGAACTGAGCTATGGAAGCCCAGAAGGCGGATTGGTAAAAACATCTCGATTTTCCAAAAATAAGATCTTTAAAAACTAAAAAAAAATTTATTTAAAATTTTATTAACTTCCCAGCCCTAGTATATGCTAACTTATGTTAACCATCAGAAAACTGTTCGGATAACACAGACTAATCGTGTGCAATCAGGAACAGTGGAACATTCAACAATACCAGAGAGCATTAATCTGCAGAGCAGGATAGTCCAGTCTAAACTACTACAATACGAAGAGAATGTTAAGGAAATAACATGCAAACCTATAGTGCAACTCAGTATTGTATACCCTCCATCCATTTTCCGTCACGTTTATCCCAAACAGGGTGGCTGGTTCCTATCTCTAGCTGTCTACAGGCGAGAGGTGAGGTACACCCTGGACAATTCACCAGTCCATTGTATACATTCTAAATAAATGACGGGTACATAGAAAAAAACCCCCAGAACTTTTATGAACCTATATTTTTGAACATAACAACTTCACATATTTTAAACTTCTCCTTATATCAGCCCCAGATGTTGGGAGAAGAATGGGTCGAGCTCACAGAGGAAGCTGATCATCTCTGAACTTGCAGCATCACCTTTCTTCTTAACAATGTCGACTAAAACTCGAGCTTTGTCCATTTTGGTCTTCTCTGACTCTACATACTCCTTCTCAAAATTATTGAGGACTCTTTTCTCCAGCAGTTTGTCCAGCAGACTCTTCAGAACAGGTTCTGATATCCCTTCAATAAAGCTTCTCCTTATCACTTCCAGTTGCTGCTTTGAATTAAAATCTGGTTGGATCAGTCTAAAGGATTTTTTATTTTCAACAGCAGAATAACAAACCACACTCTCCCAGACACTGCTCGAGTTATTTTGCCTCAGAGACAGTTTGATCTCTTTTATTGTTTTCTTATAAACCACCCGGAATGTTGTTAAGTAGTTGTTGTAAGATCCTGCATCAAATTTAGCTTTTGGTGGCTGAACCTGAACTGAGTCTTCTCCAGGACTGGTGGACAGAGTGTAATGCTTTTTGGGCTGCAGTTTACAGTGTGGAGGCATCTCTATAAAGATTTCTTCTTTATCTAATTCCTTCCTAAAAACCAACACATTTCTGAAAACAACATTTTTTGGGAGCACCAGAACATTAATCACGTGATCAGACTCAGACTCCAATGGAACCTCGTGGAACAGCAGAACCAAGGCTTGGAATGAGCGATGAGAGTTACCATGAATAATAATACCAAAACCAGAATACCCTGTGATGTTGATGACAACATGAGTTTCTGTGATCCTCTCAGGTCTGATAAACTCAATGCCTTCATCATGTATGTGAGCGACTGACAGGATCTCACAGTGTGAGCGGATCTCACAGTGAGGGAGATGAAGCTGAGCCACAGACTGCTGCTGACAGCTGATGTCAAACAGAGGTCCTGCGGGCTTCTTGCCATGTTGGCTCAGTAACCTTGTGTCCCAAGGAACAATCCTGTAGGACACGTCTCCTTCTCCCTTCATGTCAAACACCAGGCCAGTCTGTCTGCACCAGTACAGACCTGGACTGGAACACCGGAACATGTAGGTTACATCATCTTCTTTATAGATTAAATCAGGAGTAAACTCCTCATAGCCTCTTTTGGGCTTCATCTTGAGTAAACTTGTAGCTTTAAAGCTGCTTTGGGGCTTCATGTTGGGTAAACTTGAAGCTCTGGGTAAGTTGATGTTGTTTGCAGGAAGCTCCTGATGAGTAAAAGGGCAGCTGAGAGAACGAGAAGAGTCCCCATGGTCTCTTCTCCACATGGTAGACTCTGAAACATTGTGGAGGTCGGGATCGGCTGATCTGTTCTTAACAGAGTGGTCCACAGGTCCAGCTGACTCTTTAATTTCCTCCAGAGACCTGGACTGAAGCAATGGTTTGATGGTATCTGTTTCTTTGTAACTGAAGCTTATCTTCAGTTGAGGTATGTTTGCAGCTGAAGTTAAGTTGATCATTATGTTGGAAGTTTCCTCACTCACTGAGGAGGAGCTGGTTGGCTTAAATCCACCACAGACAGGTTCAGAGGGTGTCCAGTCAGCCAAGTCTTTCAAAGAGCTGCTTGATTTATTTATTGTGATGGCCTCCTGAGAAGGAGCTTGAGGTGCTAAAAGGGTTTCACTAGTGAAAGAAGAAAGACCTGATGCCGTTTGATGGTTTTCCTCATCACCTACTGGAGTTCCAGTCTGCCCAAAGCTCCTACCTTTTGTTTCTCCACTCTGTGTGCTTTCGTTCTTGGGATTGAACTGATGAGTTTCTTGCCTGTTGATGGGTTCATCTATTGCTAAATTCAGTGGATGATTGACATTAAGGCTGGATGCTGTAGCCCCCTGGGGGCTGGGTATACTAATGGTGGACAAAGGTTCAGTCAGTTCTGATCCACTTTCATCTTGTTGAGAAGGATGTACATTTCTCTGTTTTTTCTTATCTAGCTGATCATATTTTTTCTTTTTGTTGACTTCCTGCTCCCATTTCTGAATGTGTATCTGTTTTTTCTGTTCACAGATCATAAGAACTTGACTTGACAGAATTTGACTCATCTCTGTAATGAAGTGACTTTATCTGGAGTAGTAGACTGGTTGTTGAGCTGGGTCAATGTAATTCTATGGAGGCACTGGTGGTGAAAGTTCTATGAGGCTGAATGATCAGTCTTCTGAAGGACTAAAGAATTTCTATCTTTAGAAAAGAAAACTGGGGGTTTTTGAATGGAGATTTTATCCCAAACATCTGCTTTCTTGAGAAGTTGCTTTATGGTTTCCAGCTAATGACGAGAAGAAGTGGTCTGAAGGGATAATGTGTCAGTTGTTTCATCATTATCTATGTGTGACTCTGGGGCAATCAAAGCATTAGAGAAAAGATCCTGAAATCTGTGAAATCAAAGCAGCAACAATTTCTGTTAGCATATATTTAATTATGAACATATATATGTTTACTTTCAACGTATTCCTAATTGCCTGCCCTGGTCTACCTGTCTTTGGACCATAGCAACTATTTTAATAAAACTTTTATAAGTTTGTTCTGTGAAATTTAGACTAAATGTACTTTATGTAGATTTTAAAATCCTACTAATTCCTTTCCTGTAATACATTCTTTAATTTTTTTGGCTATACAATCTGAGATCGATTGTTCCAATCATCTCATCATATTAATTTACAATAAAAGAGAGAACACACACTCAAGTTGCTGTCAACCTGTCAACGTTCAGGGTACCTACACAGTATACACTGGGGGGGGGGGGGGGGGGGGGGGGGGGGGGTCACATACTGAAAACCTTAGAGATCTGTAAATCAGCACTGGACAATTCTAATTTGGTTTTATCGATTAATAAAATTTTCCATTCGCAAATATTTAATCATTGAAAAATCTTAATTCTTTTCCA